AGGAGTTGGGACTCGGGTGTTTTCGTACGGCGTGTGTGCGTGCGTGAGTGTAGAGTTTAAGGCTTAGGACTTAGGGCTTGGGGTGCCTTTTGTTGTGCGCTTTTTTCGTAAACCTAAACCAGTGCTTCTAACCGGGCGTAGTATGCTTCTGGCAGTGTGTTGTGTTTCATTGCACTAGATGCCAGCATACTTCGCATTTCTGCTGAGATTCTTTCTTTTGGCTTGGAGGATACTCATTACGGATTTCTGGGCCGTAACAGTAGGTTCAACAGTCCAATCTCCCAGAGAGCCCCATACCCCTGAATTAAGGAATATACCTTCAATCATAACCTTAAGGCCCCTATAATTTAAGGTATATTCCTTAATTAAGGTGTATGGGGGTTCTCTGGGGTCCAGTCTGGTTAGAAGATCTTCAATTATTGTGAGTAGCTCCACGGTCTCGAGGGTCCACAGCGGGCCTAAAGATGGTCCGAGAATAGGTAACTCTCCATGGTTTAGGGTTTAGGGTTTACTCTCCAAAAAGTTTCCCCCAACCCCCACCCCAACCCCCAACCTCTAAATCCTAAATTTTGACCCGAAGCTCACTGGCAGCCTAAAACCCCCTACACCTTACCCCCGGTGCTACAACTTTTATTTAGACCCCAAACCCTAAAAGCCAAAACAATCAACACGAGCGAAAACCCTTGAAGCCTTCCGATGCTAAAAGGCGGATCAAGTGTGAAGGGTCTTGGGTTTAAGGTTGCTTAAAGTAGGGCAAGGCCTTAGGGATGTCAGTTTGGGGATGTTTAGGTTTTAGCATTCAGGCTTTAGGGTTTTGGGTTTGGAGTTCAGGCTTTGGGGTTTAGGGTTTAGGCTTTAGGGCTAAACCGCTGGTTCTCCAGAAACCCTAAAGGCCCTAAGCCCCTATTAAACCGCGTAACCCAGCGGCCCCCTGTTTCGCGTTCCAAGTCTCACGGCATTCTCGCAGTCCTCCTCGGCTGCTCGGAGCTGTGGGATTTAGGTGGGCGTGTTCTCAGGCTCATTTTGGCTGCAGGGCTTCCTTTGGGATTTGGGTTTTAGGGGTTTCAGGACACTGGGCACGATGCTCTGTTGTCCATAGGATAGGACAGCAAGGATGTCACAAATCCGAAGCTTCAAACTCGCAAGCACGAGCCATGACTGTTTTCGTTTCCTTTGCTATGAGCAGTAGAAAAAAACAACCGCTACCCGCCCCTTAGATGCTTTTGCCATGACAAACAGGGTATAACGTCTTATTACAACACACCCCAAAAAGACCCGGTTCTGGTCGAGTGCCGGGCGACTGGCTTCCGGACGTCACCAGCCGCAGTTGCCACTTTGACTCCTTGGATCCCGTCGGCTCGGATGGTTCAGTTGGGCGTGGCTCTGCGGGGCTCGGGTTCAGGGCACGTCCGTGTTCCTCGGGTCAGAAAGGAGCTGATGACTACCAAAACGCATGATTCCTCAGACAGGAGCTTAAGCAAGCCTGCGTTGACGGTGATTCTGAGCCCGACTGCGCCTGAAGGACCCTGAAACCCTGAAAAGAGCCCCCCCCCCATTGCAAGGTCCAGTGAGTCTGAAAAAAAGGGCCTATTGTTGTAAAACCACTCTAAGGGTGGCCGTTGAAAAGGGACCCCAAGACGTGGAGAAGGACCCCTTTAGAGGAAGCCCCAAACCGGTGGGGCGCCTTCCCCGGCGAGCAGAGCAGATGCCTGCTGCAAGAACTCGGGCCTGCTCACAGAGAGGGCGGCGCAAGCGCTGCTTTGGGGTGTTGGGGGGCCTTGCGCAATCTTGCGCAATCCTTTTTCGGTGCCTTGGGTAGGGCCTTAGGGTCTTAGGGTTGGGGTGTTTGGGGATGTTTTAAGCTTAAGCAGCGTCATTGAGCGTTTGGGGTGTTCGGGACTTAGGGTTTAGGGTTCTGCTTCACGAAGCGCTCAGGCTCCGGGGCTCCGGCTTCGTGGCTTACGGTTTAGACTTCTAGGCCTCCCTCCGCATGACAGCTCCCGTCATGTTAAAGACACTGGACAACTCGTGGATTCCTGCCCCTTCCTGCGTCCTGGCATCACTCTCCCGGCCCTTGAGGCTTCAAGCTCAAGTCCTAACCTCGAAACCCTGAACCCACCAAGCCCTAAACCCTAAACCCATTAAGCCCTACAACCCTTCTCCTTACCAAGCCCTACGCAAGAACCTTAAAAGAGTTTTCTACGCTAAACCCTAAACCCTGTAAACCCTATAAACCCTACAAACCTTGTGAACCCTGTAAACCCTGAACCCTAAACCCTCAAACCCTAAACCCACAAGGATTTCGAAAACCAGGGCCCACCTGCGTCCGACGAGTACGACGCCTGCACAGCCATGCAGGCCAAACTGGCGTGCGACCTGCGGTGCCCCGCTTTTTGCCATAGTGGCGGCTTCTTTCAAAAACGAGTTTAGGGTTTAGGGTTTAGGGTTTAGGTTTTGGGGTTTAGGGTGTATGGGGTTAAGGTTTAGGGTTTAGGGTTTTTTCAAGAACGGAGAGTTGGAGCGGAGGGGTTTGAGGGCTTCTATACTGACTGCTGACTGGCGCGACCGAAGACCTAGAGCGATGAGATCCAGGCTACCAGCACAAAGCCTCACAGCTCCGAATCGAATTGGGGTCCTCGGATCTGTGACGGGTTGCTCCCACCTTGGTTTCGGACTTTGAGATTTCGCAGGCCGAAGGCTTGAAAACACGAAATCCACACGCCAAAGGAGCTCAGTTGTTCGGTACCCAAAGCCCGAAAGCGCTTTGCTGTCATTTCCCAAGCCTCAAAGCCGATGCCGCTGCCACCTCCAGTGACCAAAGCCACGCGGCCGGCGAGGACATCCTGCTTTTCAAGTTTGGGCCAGAAGGGTTTAGGGTTTAGGGTTGCTTTTTCAGGGTTTAGGGCTTCAGGATTGATTTAGAGAAGACGACAACCCCAACGGTGTTTGATGTGAAGCCCTTGGACCAAAACAACGCGTCACGGCGGGTCCTCACGGAAGTAGCTCGCATCTGCTGGGGCCGTCATGGCTTCAGAGTGCGAAAGTCGGACTTAAGGTACCGAAGATTCGAGTCCAATCGAGCATGTGTAAGGGTTTAGGGTTTAGGGTGTAGGGCCATGTGCGTCTTGCAGGAATCCGACACTTTGCTGCTCCTGCGATTTAGGTCAATGTGTAGCCGTAGCCGTGACTCGACTCAGGGCTGGTACTGCATCTAATCCTCTAAAACGCTTCAGACTTCACGTGAGGGGTGCAGAAACTGAAGCTCAGATTCTTGAGGTTCTTGAATTCAGACCCCTACGATCTGCTTGAGCGACATGGTGAGCATCAAGAGCCCGAGCATCACCGACGTAGTACTACATCACTGCTAACCCACAACCTCCCTAAACCCTAAACCCTAAAACCCTAAACCCTAAACCCTAAAACCCTAAACCCTAAAACCCTAAACCCTAAAACCCTAAACCCAAACTGGAAACCTGGAGATCCCTCTCCTAGCATGGGGACACCTCGTCCCCATGCAGAAACTGGAACCTGCGCCCTGATCTCTGAGAGGTACGTCGGCAAACCCTAAACCCAGGCCCTAAACCCTTAACCCGAAACCCTAAACCCTAAAGCAGAAGTCAGAGGAGCCGCGGATAGTTTTCAGCGTAACCGGAAAGAACGCTGCAATCTAGCGCCAAGGCAGTTTGGCTGTAAGTAAGTCCGCGGATCACAGGGATGTGACATCGGCAGGCCCGGTAGGCACAAGTTGTGACAATGACTGGAGCTATGGACTTGGGTTTAGGGCTTGCTTTCGATTGGTATGAAAAAAGTCTGCACACTCGCAAGGGAAAGGCATGAGCAGCTTTTCCTGCGGATGTTGCACGTCTCTGCGTCCCATGCTGCGCGAGCCTGGAGGCAAGGATTTTCACACAGGCCTCTCACGTCCACAATCATCCCCTTTAAGGAGCCCTTTAAGGAACCCTAAACCCTTATGGATCCCCTTAAGGATCCCTTTACAAACCCCTAAACCCTAAACCCTTATAGATCCCCTTAAGAATCCCTTTTAAGGACCACCGCCAAGGTCCGAAGCCCAAAACAACCAGCTCTGGCTGCAGTGGATGTTCAAGTGATGGTGAGGTACATGCGGCAACAAACATTCTGTGAGCGCACGCCGCATAGAACCGGAGGTTCGAAGTCTCCCCCAGAATTTGAAGGTTAGGTTTATAGGTTTAGGGTTCCGGGTTTAGGGTTTAAAGTGTATGGGGTTCAGGGTTTAGGGTTTAGGGTTTGCTTAGGGTTTACGTCAGAAATTGTCACAATATCACTGATCCCCGTAGCCACCGCTCAGAAACCGGACTTCTGCAGGAACATACGCCCCCGAAAGTCTGCGAAAGCGCGTCCCCTGGTGCTACATGCCCTACATACTTTCTCTGTTGAGGGAAACTTGGGGCGAGTGAAACTCGCAGCGCCTCGAAACTACTGAGCCTCGAAGCCACTCAAAGCCGAAAGATCCAAGAAGAAAGGCAGAGCAAAATCCTAAACCCTAAACCCTGAAACCGAAACCCTGAACCTAAACCCTGAAACCTAAACCCTAACCCCTAAACCCTGAAACCTAAACCCTGAAACCTAAAACCTTAAAACCCCTAAACCCGAGCCTCCTAGACTCCTGGTTCGAAAATCCTCCTACGAAGGTCCCTGGAACCTTCAAACTTCAACGAATGCTCCCCTTTCTTGGGGGGCCTGAGGACCGGGCCGGTAAGGGCCTAAGCTTCGAGGCCTTCGACCCTTCGATCGAGGCTTTGTTGGGGCTTTGGGGCTCCAGGCTATGGGAATGCAGCTCAGCTTTTCTTTCGAAATTTCCAGCCGAGCAGGGCTGTCCGTCGGCCCGGACGCACCGTCGCAGAATGCAACAGTAGCGGCTCAGTCGCATTAAGAAGAGCAATAATAAAGCGTGAAACTCAAAATGAAGCGCTGATAAGGGCCACGGCAAGATGCATGATTGTCGTTTCTCCGCAGTCGGATCATGAGGTCTTCCTCCTCCGTGACCAGATCCCTGAAAGAAAGCTGGTGTGCTGGCGGTGCAGCTCGAGCCGACCCTGCTTAACGAGACTCACCATGCCCAGAAGCTTCAGCGCCAAGGCCAGCCGACAAAGCAGAATCACCAGGAAGTTGTACTTCCTCTGCGTTTCCGGCCATAGAGATGGAGCAGCCCAGTACCAAGTATCGATGGCCTGCCAAAAGAGCTGGATCCCAAGGAGCTTTCTCACAATACCCTGCAACATCTCGGGTGCATCACCCCAGCTGGCCCAGGCAAAGAACAGCTGGAAGGCGAGACTCAAGGTGTAGAACACGTGGTTCTGTTGCACAAACTGGAGGCCAGCATCAGCACCAGAATCCAAACAAGCAGATCGAAGTGCTGAGGCCAGGTCAATCAAACAGACTGTAGGCACAAATGCAGCGACGAATGCAAAACCCAAGAGGCTAACTTTTGTGAGCCGGGAGTTCCTGGCTTCACTGTCCCAAACCAAGATTAATGCGCCGGCGGACATTGCCAAACTCAGAGTATTGATCACGTTGCTGCACCTGCGGGAGAGGAGGACGTACGTGCCAAGGCCCCCGAAGCGCAGGTGGCCCAGAATCACCAGGACTGAACACACACTTGCCGAGGCCAAGCACACGTGCGGCACCCGCTCGTAGCTGTGCAATCCACAGGCAACTGCTGAGGTCCGAATGAAGATAAGGGCATGACTGCCCAAATTCACGGAGGTGGCTATGAAGGTCAGGGTGCAGCGGTTGAGTCGGAAGCCAAGCATCTCGCAGTCAAAGTCCTTCGAGCTTACGCAGGTCAGCCAGCTGTCCCGTAAGTCACTGCACAAGCACGAACTGCCCGGACAGTCTGCTCGAGGATTCATTGCTTGATCCGCAAAAGCTTGAGGAAGCTCAATTACCACATCGATGCCACGAACTATCTGGGTAACAAAGCATGCGGCTGACGCGCCCATAACTGCCATACATCTGACGGCACCCCCGAGCGTCATGCAGACGAAGGGCTCCTCCAGGTGATGGTTCGTCGTTCTAGCGCGAATGACACCTGCAATCTTGCTTACTTCCTTCAGAGCCTCCTTTACGCCTTGTTCTCTTCCATATTTCGCAGCATCGCGCAGCAAGACATGTATAGGAGAATTCGGATGGGGAGGGCTCCATGGATATCCATCGAAGAGACAGATAAGGTGCTGAAACAAAATCACACCGCTCCCATCGGTTTCTGCAAGGCTTGCATCTTGCTGCAGCAAGTCCTTGCCTTGCCTAACCGCCAAGGCTTCAACGATGTTCCCGTTGAGCCCAGGACACAAGCGCTTCAAGACTCTCACCGCATTCCTGGCGCCAGAGTATGTCTCAAAAAACTGGAGCCGCATTGAAGTCCGTGCTGCTGTGCTCACGGCGCCATCAAGCATGGGAAAGGTCACCAGCTCAAAGCTGAAATGGCCACGGACAGGAACCAGTTCCCATTCAAGCCTCAACTTCGGATCGCAGAACTTGATTGCTTTCGATCCCAACGTCACTTCCTGAAATCGGCTGTCTCGCTGCAAGAGATTGAAGAACAGCTGCCATTCTTCAGGGCTTAACCTCGCCTGCCCAACCTCAATGGCATAGTCCCTGTCACTCTGCCCAGTTTGTTTCAGGATGTTCGTGCCAATCCAACATGACCCCATAAGGGTCAGGCTGATGTCCTCAGGTTTCCAAACGATGCTGGCCACCTCCAGAATCCACCCCTCCACCTCATCAATATCACATTGCGTCACCTGCGCAGGTGTAATGTCTGCCGCCAGTTTCCCGAAAGACCGGCTGACTCCCCACGCAGCCACCACACGCTCAAAGAACTGCACATCGTCAAGCAGACACCCGAGAGGCATCAGCCCAGCATCCTAAGAACTACCAGTCCAAGGAATCAGGCTTCGAGCCCCATGCTACGACGCAGGCAGTACAGCGTCAGCACAGCATCCCTGACAAAAACAAACTGCAGAGTTCGGATGTGGCAGGCCTGCTGGCGGCTGCCATCTGCTGCTTCTTGGCTTTGATCTTTCAGCTTGGGTCTATGGCTCTTCTGCTTGCCTGTTTGAGGCAGGCAGGTGGACTGATCAAGACTGCACCGAGAAGACGTGGCTTTCTCAGAATTTACATCTAGTCTTCCTTGGGCCACACTATGCAGGTGGCCGACATATCAACACACCTAACCCGTGGCTGGTTTCTGGACATACGACCATCAGCCTGCGACAACTGATAACAGACCAAACCTGGCACTCAACAGCCCTATGCGTCCAAACAGCTGGGTATCTCTAGTCCGCAGGCACCTTTTTCTTGCTCGCCGCTGTTTAGAACAGTGCCAAAATCTTCAAGTTTCTATGGAAGGCTCGGCATCTGTTGGAACCTTTCGCGCGAAGGCCTGACTACCAATCAGGCCTCGTACCCTTAAAGCAGAGTGTGACTGGAAGCTCCTGCACTTGCAGAAGACAAGAGAGGTTAGGAGAGCTTCAACGGTTTAGGGTTTGGGGTTTAGGGTTTAGGGTTTAGGGTTTAGGGTCGTCAATGAACTTCAAAACCACTAGCTCTGCAGTCCTCCTGGCTGACTTTGGACACAGCAGGTGAGGGGCCACTGCCAGCATATCTTGGCCCGCTGTCGGCCTCCCGAGGCACACGCCGACCATGAACGGCAGTCACTCATGAGAGAATGAGAGCATGCGGATTGTTCAATCAACCCTGTCGCAAAAGGCACTCTATTACTTCCATGGTGCTTGATACATGCTTCGCACTCACGACAAGATGCTGACCCCTTCCGCGCCTGGGACTCCTCTGGGGCGATCTAGGCCTTGCGCAAGCGCTTGCTGGGAGGGCCCTCGGAGTTAAAGAGCTTCTTGAGCAGGCTGCTCTCTCCCTGCACGAAGAAGGGCCGCTGCCAGGCTTGCGTCGCAGCGGCCTGCTTGCTTTCTGCCACGACCCATGGGGCATAGACCCGAAAGGAGAGCTTGCCTTTGCGGCCCGATCCCGCAAGGATCCCCTGCTTCAGCAGGTCTTCAGCAGGAAAGACAAAGAATCCAAAGTTCCCAGCCTCTTCCACTGCCACCAAGAGGGCCTGCAAGTCTCCCACGCTGAAAGGGACGATGGAGCCTTTCCCACCCGGCCGCTTCCAACAAGTCACAAAGGCTCCGTTCTTGGTGGGCGTGATCTTGGCGGAGCGGTAGGCACATTGCTTTCCAGCCAAACCCAGTGAGCAAGCATCGTAAGCTGCATTCTTGGGGTCTGCATCTACCACCGGTCCGCTTGTGACTGTCACCCCGTGCTCATCAAGCACCTTCTGACAACGCGCGAAGACACCGGAAAAGGCCATGCCAGACCAGAGCGTCTGAGCCGCAAGGCACAGGTTGGCTAATCTACCTGCGCGAGAAACCTGCAGCATCTGGTGAGCCTAAAGATCTCCAGGAGCCCACTGCAGGCAGCGCAGGCAGCATCATGCCGAAAGAGTCAGCTCCCTGGCCCTGTGGTCATTTCCTGCACTGCACGAGTCTCGCTGGCCTGCGGCCTGCGTCTGAACTAGGCGCTAGAGGGGGTTCTGCCGAGCTACAGCTATCCGCTGGCAACCTCAACCGGCTCTACCCCGAGGTCGTAGCAAGCCGATTCGCAACAGGCCACCTCTGCACCTCTGGTATTGCGGAGACTGGGCATTCTCTTGCATCCTCCCGAGTATGCTAGGGCTAAGGTTCAAGATCAGCAAGTCAAGGGTCAACCGAACTCAACTCAAGTGTCCACGAACCCGAAATTCTGATCATCGACGGTGCGAACTGCGGGTTAAATGGCTGGAGGCTCAGAAGAAGTGGCCCATTGGCTCAATGAAGCGCTGCCAAGGTAATGCGAGAAGCAACCATCGAGGCATTGCTGAGCAAATCGGCCGGCGTACGATAGAAACTGGCCAAACGCTCGGGACGACTTCGCAACAGACCTCGTCAAGACCTTCTAGGGCAGGAAAACAGTCCTAGATAGTCGACTACAATGCTTCAGTGGTCTTCCGACGTGTGGCAATCGAAGATATAAAAAGGAGCGTGCGCTTTTCATCCCGGAAGGAGACTACCAATCTCCATTCCGCTTTGATCAGAGCACCCTAACCTTGCTGAAGGCGGGGTCCACTGCTCATGGATCATTATCTCGACTCATTCTCACAGCCACGGCTTGGCTTAGGAAAGCAGTGGCCTTTCTGTGTGGCCATCATGCCCAGGCAGACTACTGACAGCACTCGTTGTTGAACGACTGACCTTTCTGCTACAGATCGACTGTGATAATCACGCGCTCGTGGGCAAAATGACTGGCCATTCACATCTAGGAACTAGAAGCTGTTGGCTCATACACCCGGAAACACGCACGAAGTCACTAGGAATGACACTCTTTGCCATTTACTGAAGCACTTCCACTTCAGGCATGTAGGCAGAGCATACTGACTCTGCCAGTATGCCATGGCTTGCCGGTGTATGGCTTGAGAGAGCTTAAACAACTGGTGAGCGCAGGAGGGGGCCACTACGAAACAGTCTGGTCAACTTCGTCATTTCAAGAACTGCTCTACCAATGCCCATCATCACCTCCGGAACGAGACTACCAATCTCCGTTCCAGAGGCCGTGACGCATACCCTCGCGCATCCTATGCTGGCGTGCTGGTTCGCCCCGTACCAGCAATCTAACGGAGCTGCAGTACAAAAATGCGAGCGCCCCACCTGCTCAACAAAGCTTGCAAGGAGAGGGAAGTCTTGAACTCCTGACCTTGCAAGCCAGGTGAATCGAAGGTCGTCTATCGATTCGCATCCAGGAATTGTTCAGCCACATCTTGAAGTTTGGAAGAACGGCTCAGTGATGGATAAGCATGCTTGCCATCGAACTCCTGAGTTGTGACGCAATCGCTGGCAAAGCTCTCGGAAAGGCCCGACGGCGTCTTTGAACATCTGCAAATCCTCGGAGAAGCGCATGCCATCGCCCTTGTCACTTGTCACGGTAAATCAGAGCGCACTTTCTCACCCAGAGTCTCACAAACAAGCACAGTACCGCTTTCATAAGTGTTCAAGCAGCAGCACAATCAAAAGCCTAGCCTGAGTACCTGACAGAGCTGCAGGACAAAGCAGCGGACCCGATTTCACAGGGCACGGCATCAGCAAAGACAATGGTTCAGCTTTTCTGACAGGCAGTGCAGACTGACACTCTACTGCATGGTATCATGCCAGGGAATGGTCTGACTGCAAGCGAAGGTCCTGGCTTCCATGCAACAACAGCAAGGGCATGTCGAGCCGAGTGTTGAAGAAGCCAAGGTCGTCGTGGTATGGGCACTTCCAGGGCGCCATGGCAATCATCATCCGCACCCCTCCAAGTCCAAGATCTCTCTTCCCGGCTCTTTGCACGAAGATGGCTGCATGGGCAAATGCTGCTCCTTGGCAGAAGCCTGCCACAGCATCGAAGGGGCCGTGATTGTGTGCGACCTTCGTGAGGTATGCAAAGGCCTCCTCGTAGCGGTCGTGTTCCATCTGCGCCTCTTGGGTGTTCAATGCCCCTCTTGGTGTTCGTGTTCGTGTCCCCATGTGGAGGTCGTAGAAAATGCCGAAATTGGCACACCACTCCTTATAGGTCTCTCCAGGGCGGTACCATCCTTCGCGCACCAGCTGTGTCAAGCCCACGCGTTCAAGTTGTTCCGGATCCTCGTCGGCACTAACCGCATGGGGGCCATCTGGCACCACAAAGTCTGCTTGTTGCCACCAACCCGTGGCCTGGAGCAGTCTCATGGCCACTTCTCGGTTCGTCTTCTCTCCGTGAAAGAACAAGACCCGTGGACGACGCGGAACTGCCAAGATACCAGCGAAATCTTGTGGGGCACTTGGCCACAGGCGAGCAACAATCGCACCGGCCGGCCGCAGCAACCTGTCAAAGTCCGGCGGCTGCAGGCTGTTGGCACCATCTTGCCTCTCTCGCAAGATGAGAGCGTTCTCTTCCCACTCGGTCCGACGATGACGAACGAAATCGCAGAAAGGCAGCTGCTCTCCTTGGTTCTGAGATACACAGAGCCAAACGTAGGCCGTCTTTCTTGGCTCGAGAAACCAACATGTGATGGCTAAACAGCACTTCAAAGCCCAGCGTCTTGTTACATCCGACACCTTCACCTTCCTCTCTTTGAAGTGCTCCCACATAATGTTGATATCGACACCCGGCGTGAAGGACAACCTGGCAAGTGCCTCGACAAGATACAGAGGCAACACGAAAAAGGCGGAAAAATTCGACAGTGATCAGGATAATCGTGATTTTGGTCGTGGTCATCATCATCATCATACAGCCGTGACAAGAACCCTCTCAAAGCCTGCGGGTCCTTGCGATAGTGCAGGAAAGCTTTGGCAAAGGCTTGCACGTAGAAGGGGTAGCTGGGGCAGAGCAGCGAGTTCACACGTTCGGGCACCTCAGCTTGGAGCTTGGCGTTTAGGGTTTCGGGTTTAGGTGTTGGGGATCTAAGCTATAGGATTGCCACAAGGCTCGCGACGCTGCATGTCCTGTGCAGAATTCGTCCACTTCTGCCCTTCTGCCCTCCTTCTACTTCCCTGCACTATCTTGCAGCTTCACAGGGTTTAGGACAGGAAAAGCCCAACGAAAAGACACGGTTCTGGAAAGTGGCAGCGCGCAGCTCACTGGGCTGAGTATAGGGGCCTAGCTTCGGTCCTGTTGCTTCAAGTTTTGTTCAGAGGCCAGGCCACTCGACCACCACATGTTCATGCAACGGACAGGATCCCTAAACCCTAAACCCCTAAACCCCTAAACCCCTAAACCCCTGAACCCTAAACCCCTAATCCCTAAACCCCTAAACCCTTAACTTTGCAGACAGCTTCCACCTGGAACTGGTCATTGGCAACCAAGTTCGGGTCTCCGTCGAGCCAGAAGCTCGCCTTCCGCTCCACGGGCCTCTCCCAAATTTTCTCTTGAAGCTCCGGGGTCTCTGGGTTTAGGGTTTAGGGGTTTAGGGGTTTGGGGGTTTAGGGGTTTAGGGCTTTCGGGCTTTAGGGGGTTAGGGGTTTAGGGTTTAGGGTTTAGAAAGTTTAGGGTTTAGGGGTTTAGGGGTTTAGGGGGTTTAAGGGGTTTAGGGGATTAGGGGTTTAGGGACGACGAGTCGACTTGGAGGCCCTGTTCGAGACGGCCTCCCGAAGATCTTCTGCACCAAGTCGTGGCGATGAAATCCAAGGCACCTAGGCTTAGGGTTTAGGGTTTAGGGTTTAGGGTTTAGGGTATAGGCTTAGACTGAGACCAGGCGTCACCGTCACTTCGGGCAGTTCACCGTTTCACATCACTTGTAGTAATCACGCTGAGCCACTTCAAGACGACCTGGCCTCAGATGACATGAAGGTTCAGACTGTCGAGTTACGTTGGATCCAGATGTTGAGATCGGAGGGCTGGGGTCTTGCAAGCTAGACGCAAGGAAGATGCTCAACTCGAGTTCCCCCATCTTCGTCGAAAACATCCACAACCTCACACATGGACAATCCAGGTTCACTGCTCACAACGCGACCATACACTTTCATTGAGAACTCTCTACTTGGCAGATTGCCCGAGCCCCCGGCGGCACAGGTGCTCTCGAGGCGCGTCACTTCACCGATCACGACTCTCAGCGCGCCCATCGCCTCACAGCTAGCGGGCGTTCGCCTACTCAAAGGAGTGCCACAGGAGCAGAATTGCCGTTGCCTGCGCCAAGAAATAGATGTCGGAGCAGGCTGGGATTCGGAAGTCGATGGAATCGCCCTGAAGGGCCGGGAGCTGGTCGAGAGTGATACCAGCCACCTGGTAGAACTTCTCCAAGACAGGCCGGATCTTGCGAATCTCGAGCGTGCCATTGACCGAGTTGATGAGCCAATTCACCACGCTGGGAAAAACAATGTTCCGCCGCCGGGCAACTATGGTCACAGATTTCGCGCCATTCTGCAAGGCCGTTCGCATGTTCTCAATAGCAAAGGCACCATGCCCAACGATCAGCACCTCCTGATCCTTGAAAGCTTCGGGCCGCACATCATCACCGTGGCCAAGGCCGATCGTCCCTGCGAAGCCATCCTCGCCGGGATAGACGACGTCATTTGCGGCGTGCAGCCCACCCAAGAAGAAGGCAACGCCGCCGACGGTCAACTCATGCTGCTTCTTGGATGCATCGGTGAACTTCACACGGTACTCGCCTGGCTGAACCTTTGAAAGAGATGTTACTTCATGGCTCAGTCTCAGATCCAGGCTGTTGGCTGCCTCACGCACCTCATCCAAGACCTTCTGCTTGCTCGGGTAGGTGACCCCCCATGCACGAGGGGAATCATAGTTCAGCATATAGGAGGGAGCATCAATCTGCAACTTTGAAGACAGGTTGCCAAGGGTCCAGGAACCACCCGCGGCAGCCCCTTTCTCCATGACAACAACGGTCTCGCTCGCTCGGACCAGCTGTTGCGCAAAGGCTACACCACCCACCCCGGCGCCCACGACAAGGATTGGTAATTTGCTACCAGTAGCCTCCGGAACTCCGGCTTCGGATACATCCCTCTGCGCCGCAAGCTCTTCCCGCACATATCGCCGCAACTCCCTCTCGGACTTAGCAGTTGCAGACACGGTGGCTGGAAGCTTGATGCCGAGGACATTAGACAACTGTATTGACAGCTCTGCAGCTCCCAGAGAATCCAGCCCTGACTCGCTAAGATCTGAGTCTAAAGTCAAAGCTGCCGAATCCGTCAGACCCTGGAGCACTCGCGAAATCGCAGAATCCACATCCTCAATGGGCTGCATGCTGCGTGGGCCCGAGGAAACAACCCTGAACGCATCCAGCTTCACCAGCCCGGTCTTCTGAACGGCGCACACGTTGCCTGCAGCACCAACTTCCAACAGTTGCTCCAAGATGGCGATGCCCTGGTGGGTCTTGAAAGCACCGAAGCCGTGCTGCTGCGCCCGGCGCAGGGCCTGCGGCCTAGCAGCCATGCCTGCCTCAGACCAACGAAAAAACACGTGCAAGCCAAGAACTGACGGACAGAGTATTCACAGAATGCAGCCACCACAACGTACCACAACAGCCCGCAACACTCACCGAGCCTCCGCCCATGGGCCCCACTGGATCGTCAGCACACGTAGAGCACGATCGGGAGCTGCGTGGCCCAACCCATCGAGGCAGCCGTTGGCGGCACTGTAGGCAACTTGCCCGGCACTCCCCAAGACAGAGCTCACGGAGCTAAAATTCACAATCCAATCCTCGCACTGGAGCTGCGGCAGGAGCAAAGCGGGGACGATCTTGCAGGCCATGCAGGAATGGAGATCTTCTGGTGTCTGTTCTGCCAGCAGCTTGTCGGCGAGCACTCCCGCGGCGTGGATGATGCCATGTACGGGGCCCCCTGTCCGTATCTGGTCTATGGCCTCTTGCAAAGCCGAGGGCAAGGAGACGTCGCATTCCAGCCACTCGGCCGGGCAAGCTCCATCACATATGGCCGGGCGCCTGCGGGAAAGAAGTATCAAGGAGCCGGCACCTTGGTTCAGGAGCCACTGTGCACAGGCCGTTCCCAATCCGCCACTGCCACCAGTGATCACATAGCGGCCGCCGATGCGAACGCTGATCGCACCGTCCTGCACCAACTCGGCCCGCCACCTTTCCAGCCGAGGTACTTCCACTGTCCCGGCCACTACGCGGCAGATGGGCTCTTCAGAAGCTGGCGGCAAGCTCACCACGGAGAGGGCAGTCTCCACCTCCCGCCAGCCACTGGCCTCCACCTGGACGACCTGATCGTCAAAGGCAAAGGCGTACGCAACCCAAGACGATACTAGGTGGTCTTCGTTTTTCTCTAGAGTCTGAACAACTTTGAAAAACTCAAACCCCAGCGGCCAGGCGCCTGCACATGAAGCTCCTGCTCACATTGGGCACTGCGCAGCATGCTGGCTGCAGCGCTGAAGCAAGCCTCCGCAAACGGGCCGTTGCCAGCAACGATCACCTGCCACGGCACACCTTCGCGGGCTGCCTGCTGCAATGTGCCCAACACTTCTGCGCAGCAAAGCTCCAGGCGTTGGATTTGCTGCTCGGCAGGCAGCTCTCGCCAACATCGGAAGGCAAGAAAGTTCATCCCTTCCTCCTCCGTCCTCAGCGTGTCCTCGTCAGAAGCCTCCGACTGAACAACATGCGAAAACAGTCTGCCCACTACCAATTGGCCGTCAGCATGCTCCAGATTGCGGACGTTACTCCACCGGCACCTGTACAAGCAGTCAGCTGCTGGTCCATCACAAGGACAATAATACATCTTCGCCGAGCGCGGGCTGACCTTTCCACCTGGAGGCAGCGTTTCCTCCCCCGGCACCAGCATGGCTTG